AACCACAGCGGAAAAAAGAAGAAAAAAAAAACAGTGAATAAAAAGACAAAAGGAAAAAAAAATCTGCTGAGAGATGAAATGAAGGAAAGAAGAAGAAGAGAAGAACAAAAAAAACAGACAAAGCAGGAAAGACGAAAAGAAGAGAAGAGGGAGAAGACGAAGCAGGAAGAGAGAAAAAAGAAGTAGAACGATGTCGAAGAAGAAGACGAAGCAGGACCAAGTTCGTTTCTCTCCTCTCCTCCTTCCCTGCTTTTTATCTTTGCTTTTCGTCTCTCTCCTTTCAATACCCCCAGAAACTAGGGTTTTACACTCAATAAATAGTATAAAGCAATTCTAAGGTGTAATGCATGTCCACAAATAACACAAAATCAGGAAAAATGAAGGGCCCAGATCTTAGAAATAAGAAGCGACGCTTTGTTTCGCCTTGCGCTTCATCGCCTAAGTCTCGTTTCACTTGCCTCAACCTCGCCTCTCCATATCACCTCGCTTTGAACCCTATGAAGCGCAATAGCCTCTCTTCGACGAGCGCTTAGGCGCGCCTCTAACAACACTGGACTAAGCAACTCACAAGCTTGCGATATAAAGTAGGATTATCTAGAGGAACACCATCACTATTGTTAAGCTCTACATGAAGCTCAATGAGGGTATCAGAAATATTAGTGTCAGTAAGGCCGGCACGGTGAATAACCTTATTTGCATATTTAGCCTGAGACAGAAAGTAGCTTTTAGGAGAAGAAGCTACCTCAATACCAAGAAAATACCGCAATGGACCTAGATCCTTCATTTTAAAGGTGCGGAAGAGATGTTGCTTGACCTCAGAGATAGCAGAAGAGTCAAAGCTAGTGATGATCATATCATCCATATATAGTAAGAGAGCAACAAAACTAGCCGAGGTATGTCTTAGAAACAAAGCAGAGTCGAAAGCAAAAGGATAAAACCCAAGCTCAGTAACGGTAGTCTGAAAGCGATCGTACCAAACACGAAGAGACTGCTTCAGACCATACAGAGCACGCTGAAGACGATAAACATGTCCAGAGGAATAGGGAAGGCTAGGGAAAGGACGCATGTAAATCTCCTCAATGAGATGGCCATTAAGAAAAGCATTCTTAACATCCATCTGATAAAGAGGCCAAGAACGAACAACAGCGACAGAGATCAAAGTACGGGCAGTAGTCATCTTGGCAACAGAAGCGCAGGTCTCCTCATAATCAATACCATACTCCTATGAGAAACCTTTGGCAACCAGACGAGCTTTGTAGCGCTCAAGAGAACCATCAAAATGAGTCTTGAATTTGTAGACTAATTTGCAACTAACCTGATTCTTACCAGCAGGCAAAGGAACCAACTTTCAAGTACTAGTTTTCTGTAAAGCAGACAACTCATACTCCATAGCTTGAACCCAATGAGGATCATGACAAGCCTCCTTGTAAGACTGAGGTTCTAAAAAAAGGTGAATAGCAGACAAAAAAGTACGATAGGAAGCAAAAAAACAGGTATTAGACCAACCCAACTTGTTTAGGAGACAACGCTCACGAGGAGAATAGCGGTGTGCAGCAAAATCAGAGTCGTCAGAAGCAGAAGAAACAACAATAGGAGTAGATACAACTAGTGGTGGAAGAGCCTTGCAACGAGAATAGACCAACAACGGAAAGGAAGAAGCAGCCAAAGGCGAAGGAGCCATAGGTGACGGAGACGGAGAAGTAGAAATGGCCTCAGGAGGAACAATGGCAATATACTCATCTGATGGGACCTCAGAAGGAAATAGATCAATGTGAACCAAGTCATCTTTAGAAACGGGAGCAATAAGAGGGGGAGCTGAAAGTAAGACAGACATTCGAGAAAGGCCACATGACAAGAGACATAGAGACGACAAGAGACAGGGTCATAACAGTGGTAGCCTTTCTGAGTAAGACTGTAGCCCAAAAAGACACATAAGACAGACCGGGCACTGAGTTTGGTCCGATCTTTACAGAAGGAGGACAAAACAAGCAGACCCAAAGACATGCAAGAGGGAATAATTGGGAGGTTGGGAATACAGAGCCTTATAAGGGGATTGACCGGAGAGTAGGGGAATCGGCATGTGATTAAGGAGGAAAGCAGCAATAAGAACTGTCTCACCCCAGAATGGTGCCAGAACAAAGGCAGAGAGGAGAGATTGAGCTGTCTCAAGGAGATGACGGTGTTTACGCTCAGCACGACCATTTTAGGCAGGGGTATCAGTACAGGAGATTTAGTGAATGGTGCCCAATTTGGCCAAATACTCACAGAATTCAATTTCAAAGTATTCTCTACCCAAGTTAAACCGAAGTATTTTAATTGTGACCCCTAACTGTGTAGTGATCATAGACTGAAAGGTACGATATATCTAGTAGAAGTCAGGTTTATGAGCCATAAGATAAACCCAGCATAGTGGGTACAATCATCAACAAATTTCACATAGTACGCAAAATCCCCTTTAGTGAGAACAAGAGAAGGTCCCCAGACATCAGTATGGATAAGAAAAAAAGGGAAAACAAAAATAGAAGTACTGTTATTAAAAGATAAAGCTGCCATTTTAGCAAGTTTACATCCTCAACACTCATTAATTTGACTAGGAGAAACTTTACCTAACAATCCTGACTGAGCTAAAGACCGCAAGCGGTCAACAGACAAATAACCTAAACTAGAATGTCATAAATAAAACTGACTCAACTGAGAATCTAATTGAAAAAATAAAAGTACAACAGGAGAGATAGACGGAGAAAGATGCAGGCTTCCCATCACAGAGATCCCCAACTCTACGGCCGATCCCAATCTGCTTCTTGGACACCCGATCCTGCACACAACAGACAGAAGAAGAAAAGATAACATCAAAACAAAAAACATCAAGCTGACTGATAGAAAGCAAGCTAACAGATAGTTGAGGAACATAAAGAACAGAGGAAATAGTAATAGCGGACATGGCAGAGGGTAAAACAGACCCAACAGATAGGACAGACATACCAGACCCATTAGCAGTATTAATAGTAATAGGGAAGGGAGGGGGGATACATTTTTGTAGTAAGGAAATATGGGGAGTCATATGATGAGAGGTACCAGAATCAAAAAACCAGACAGAGGAAGGAATACCTGAAGAGGACCCAAGCAAACCTGAATGAAGAGAGGTGAGAGCTGAGGCAGATGAAGATGATTGAGAGGTAGACAAGATCTGCTGAAGCTGAGCAAGCTGAGAACTCAAGGAAGCCAAATCAGGACCTGAAGCCGGAGTGGATGCAGTATAAGCGGCGGGAGGATGGAAAGAACTCTGAGTTGGTGCTCGGGACTGAGACTGCTAAGAAGATGGATGTTCCTTCTTGGGACAATTGTACTTCCAATAACCCTTCTGATGACAGAAAACACACTCATCTGATGGTAGGGGCCCCTTCTTGGTCTTTGCAGTGGCCTGAAGCTGATGAGGTGGGGGGTTCGATAGCAGAGGAGGCTAAGTAGGAGCCAAGAAAACAGATGGAGATAGAGTCTGATTGGCCGTCTTAAGACGAGTTTCTTCGGAGAGGAGCTCACGAACAATAACATCCACAGAAAGGAGAGGAGACCGATGAAGGATGCCACCATGGATAGCCTCACACTGAGGGGAGAGAGTCGTTAAGAACTGCACTAAACAACCTTGCTCCCGAAACTCAACATAAGTGTCTGGTGCCTTGAGGCTAGATGGTTCCATGAGAGCCAACTGATCTCAGAGGCCTGTCACCTCTATGTATAAGTCCTGAATAAATTGATCCCGCTGACGAGTACTCTGAATAGTTGTTTCCAACTTATACCGCTTGACAAAGTTGGACTGATGATACACACCTAATAAATAGTCCCACACCTCCTTGGCAGTACTATATTTGGAAAACATCATTTCTATACGGTCATCCACAGAATTATGAAACCAGGTAAGAACTTGGGCATTATCACAATCCCAAGTGTCACAGGAAGTCAGATATCCTTCTTGTTTCGGGTCCAATGGACGAGGAACAGAACCAAAAACATAACCCCATTTTTTCTAACCAATAAGGAAATTCTTCATGACACTAGCCCAATAAGCATAATTGGCACCAGTGAGTTTACATCTGATTGCTTGGATTTTGGTGTCAGTCATTATAATAAATCAAAGATTCACAGGTGGAAATATAATAATGACTAACAATTGGGCCAAACTGTAAATAAGTGTTTTGACCCAAATAACAATACTGAGAGAGTCAAAGCCACGAACTCAGAGAGACAGAGAGATACAAACAGAGCAAGGCAGAGCAAAGATCGACCGAGTGAGGCAAATCAGCACCACTTCGATCGCATGAACCAAGGTTCGAAAGAGAGAGTTCAGGCGAACACGATCACGTTGCTAGAGAGAGAAGCTTCTGATGATCATGAACCAAAGTCGATCGACCAGGAAAATTAGACGACTCGACTCCAATCAACGAAGATGAGGCACGACGTCAACTGAGGGACTAAAGCAGCAACTGAACTGATGTCGCGATGCGAACCAGAGAGTGATCAGTCGAGAACCTGTTTCAATATCGCGATTAGGGAAGAAGATCACCCACAACTCACAACTGAGAGAGAGCAACAGTTTCTAGGGTTTTGGCTCTAAGACCATGTAAGTTTTCTGAATGATTTTCTGTATATTCAATTGTGTATCTTTACAAGGAGGTCACCAGTTTATATAATCCTAAACCTATGATGGAAAAAGGAAACACGAAAAAAAGAAATACAGCCAAATAGTTACACCACCACAATCTTTCCTAATTCTATACACAATACAATCTTCCCTAATTCTATACACAACATATTTCTCACAGTGTTCTGCTCTAAAGAACACAATAATATGTTATTTTCGACAAATGCATCAGTTTTAAAAGTCATACAACCTAGCTTGTAAAGTTCCACAGGCATCACTAAAGTGGCTAATATCATCCTTAATTTGTCTACAATCTTAGCTGAAGAACAAAAAAGGGTAAGCCCCCATAGCAGGTCCTCACCAGTTTTTTGCATCTTTGTCTTGTTATTGTCAAAAAAATCTGGTGGAAGAACAGAAGATGGCCGTTTCAGCAATTCCATCGAGGCTTCAGGTTTAGAATCACGCAACTCTGTAGAATGTTCATTTTTTTGTTTGGGCAACTCTATAGGGGACTCAACCTTTGCATTATTAACCCGTGTTAGTCCAGCAGCATTGGCTTTGACATTATTAATCGCCTGTTTAAGTATAAGCATCACAAAAAGTTAGTATTCAAAACAAACAAAACTCAATAACAAAACAATGATGGTTGTAACAGAATAATAAAAAAGACATAAATAACTCTATTATTTCTCCTCTATATCATTCTTCTTTCCCGTCTCACCACTATCGCTAGCCAGAACCGCCATCACACGTTGGGAAGGTAACGTATGTGTAATCAAATATTTTGTAACCAACATGTCAAATGCAATATTAATTAAAAAACCATATTATTAGATGTTTTAATTTGACGTATGTAATTGAAAAAATATGATCAAAATACAATAGGATGTGCCCAGATCACTTGCTAGAATAGAAGATCACCGTACATCATGTTTTCAACAACACTTGGCACAACTCAGAAATTTTGACAACTTTTGAAACCCAATATGATGAGGAATACCCTCTCATAGTTTTGCAATTATAATTTCAAATGCAGTTTTCTTGCTCTATGAAGTAACTGGGATAAAATTTATTTGCAAGCTTGCAAATATTTTCAATTTTGAATGACCTTTAATAAGAACAAGTAACTCAATCGCATCCTTCTTAAACATTGTTGTTCAATTCTTGCAAATAACTTTAATTTTTGAAGGATTGACGAATAAGAAAAAAGCGAGAGTTGAAATAGAGAAATAAAGAAGAAAAGGAAAAACTAAAGCAGGGGAAGAAGTTTTTTAAAATAGATATCGAGAAGAGAGAAGAAATCAAAAATGCATAATCGAAACAAGGATAAAGAGTAAAAGAGAGCTAGAGAGAGAAACGCATCTAGAGCTTTTAAGAGTGAAGATTCAAACTTGAAAATGGACACTAAGTTGAAGATCCAAGTTGTTACAAGTTGCTTCCCCAATCTTTTTTTCCCCATATGTTTTCCCTAAATTAATTTTCTCCACATGGATAACCAAGGGATTTGGAGTACAGCTATGAAAAAAAAAAAAAGATGCAAAATATTTTTTCTGCAATACATTTCTTCTTTTCTCCCCACAAGATCAAAGGGGTCCGAACAACCTTGTACGTGAATATCTAGAGTGGAAGTCCAACAAAATGTTGAAGCAAAACGAATAATGAGCCACTTATTTATTTGAATAGAACATATTCTGTACTTTTTCTGCAACATGACAAGATTAAAGTGTCTAACCAAATGTTACCTAAAAAGGTAAGATAATCGTAAATTTTATAATAATAAAAAAAAACTTTGAGGCGGCGGTCGCCTGTGCTAGCCCCTCCCTCGGTCCATCCTTGCTGCTGCCACCACCAATCTTTTATCTATATATGCAGCATAATTTTATTCATAAAGCAGTACAATCAGGATATTATCATCTTTGAGGTGTGCTACCATCTTTTGCAAGATACTCAGCCAATGCAACGTGTCAAAACTACATATATATCATGAAGTTGGAATGATAAAGTTCACCTCGTGATGTTTACGAGAAGCTTGATGTGCGGGCCAAAGTGACTCGGATTTCAAAACAACATCACAAACCCTACAGACAGGTTGATCAAATTCATTGTACCTACATGCACGAAAAGAAAAGGTAAACAAGATGCCACCCGAAACACTGTCATGATAACATCAGTTTACTTCTTGAAATCATGTCATTTGGACAATGTACCATTTGAAGAACAGATACATAAGAAAGATAAAGAAATGTCGCAGTTAAACAAAAGAATTGACAAGAAAAATGGGGGGGAAAGTCAAGGCTATATGTTGGTATACAAGACAAATAGCTCCTTCAGGTACCGGGAAAACTAAAGAGATATTTATTTTAAAAAATCCATCAAATCTGTTTGGCTTTCATGCACCCCTACAAGATCGCATTGACTTTCCAATGATCACCACTAAATGAGCTTATTCCCCAACCGCAAACTGTAAGATCAAGGTTTTATTAAAACAAGCTCCTTTTTCCAGCAAATGTTATGATAACATGTTGATGTTGCTAATTAAGCACATGATTTAGAAAAATCTCCATGCATCAATAAGACTTGAAATATTACAAATGCAAAAATCAAGGAACCAACTCTTAGTAAGATATTTCAGAGACACGATAAATTCTTGTTTTCTACCAAATATACACTGCTGAAATTCATACTGCTGTCCATACTCTTATAGCGATCAATAATTTTTCCTAGCCATGAACAACATTCCAATGTTTAAGTACTTCAAACTTAAGGTGCCATAATAGTTAGAAATCAACCAAGTGGCTACAACAGAAACTCTGGCTTAGGTTCATCAAATTATGAAACTTCCTACAGATTTATCATTAGGTTAACCCAAACCAAACTCTTGTTATATATAGAAATGTTCCACCACTAAAGAAACAAAATGGCTTATGGAGTTAACCAAAACAAAAAACTTAATAGCAAAATACACTTCAAAGCATGTTAGTCACATGAGAGAAAACCGGGACAATTGTTAAAAGAATTGATGAAAATTAAAGAGCTGCTAAAATCAAGATGGCAGGTCAACATGGCTAAATTAGATCATAAGGGGATCTACTCGCTCCTCTTCTGACATGAGGTGTGGATTCGGGCTTCGGGAAATATAAGGCATATGGCAATACAGAACACATAACATAATTGGAAGAAATACGGGTCAAAGTTTAGACCAATCACAGTAGTTCTAACTTCTACCTACAGAAAGAACCATCAGAGTCTTTGGGCGTTGCTTGGGATGCGTTAAGTAAAGACTGATACATAGAAACTAAACAATAAGCATGAAAACTACCCATTTAGCATCACTAAGAAATTATTTTTCAACTTTTTATTTCATTCTCAATTTGAGACTCTAGTTCTCAAGAAAATATTAAAGAACTCTTTTGAATCCCTGCAAAATAAACTATTTCTAACATAACATTGAGTAATGGATACAGTTAACACTAATGAGCACATGAAAATGAACCCAGGGAAGTCTTCAAATTATTCACACAAGTAGTTTCCAATATAAGTGAAAAATAACTCTAGTTAGGACCTTCTTTTAACCCACCTGTTCTTCCATCTTCTCTGATGCCTTTCCAATTCTAACATTATATTTTGCCAGAAAACAACCACTCTTTTTGTGTAGATGTAAATATATATATTATTCACCTAACAAGGACTCAAAACCTTCATAAATTAAAAAATGTTTTCTTTGTTTTTATAATGCATTTTAAGCTTAAAACTATAAAATTCTGGGTGTGTGCATCCCATTTTCTGACACAGCAGTGCATCTTCTCATGCTTTGGCCCTGTTTGGTGCAGCTTAAAAGCTGTTTATTTCAGCTTTCAGCTTAATTTAAGTTATTTTGATGTGTTTGGTTTAACTTATAGCTTATAACTTTTTGGAAGTCAGAAATCAGCTTATTCTTTGAGTGGGGCAGGAGATGTTAATTTATAAGTCAGAAATCAGCTTATGTTCATAGTTATAAGCTATAAGCTGTTTAAGCATAAGTTATAAGCACTTTCCCACAACTCTACCAAACAGGGCCTTTATTGATTTAGCTTTCAGAGGTAATTTTTTGCCTATCACCTGAGCTTCCCTGACTCTTCAAGCTAATGTTATTGACAACTTCAACACCTAGCACCAAACTCCGTGACACACACGTTTGGTACAAATACTAAAACATCAATTATACTTGAAGTCAACAACTCAGCTCTACCAAATCATTTCCCACTAAACTAAAAAAAAAAATAAAATTAGGAAGCATAATAGTTACTCAAGGCACAATACACAATTACACACAACACCAAGACATTGATACCAACATAGAGGGATAATGCAAATAGACACAAGAAGTCAGGGTATTTTGTGGTTTTAGTGCATTGGCATTGGAGCATGGGCTACATGTCATGAGAGTAATTAAGGATAAAGCAAATTACCTCACAAGAGGAGATTCTATGCGCTTCTCCAGCTTATTTGCATTCAGTTTAGCACGATACAAGGCCTTCTTTCTCGCTTGAGCATCCATTGTGAGGCCTTCTTTTCACTAGACAGATAAAACTCACCTCAAGTCTAAAATCAATAAATATTCTTCTACTTCAGTCAATGAACTGAACCTGTTGTCCATTTTGAGGAATAATTATAGAGGAAAAAAACTATTATCATTCAAGAAACAGGCCTGTAATAAAGATACAGAACTCCAAAAATATACATCTTTGATTGAGAAAAAAAGAACAAGTCAGAAACACCATATAAACTCTACCTCACAACAAAAAAACTCAGTGTTGATAAATAGTATTTCTAACAAAATACATAAGCCAATAACATACAGAATAAATTTCAGTTCTGACTGACTTATACTAGTCATACGTAAAACCTAGTTCTCAAAGGGGGTCTTGCCATTGAATGAAACAACCAATATGGAAGCCAAAAAAAGAAGGATACTAAATACGAGACAGAGCCTCTCCATACTTCCCTGCCACATGAATGACGAAACCACACATTCTTCCCAAGTGCAACATTAGTGTTTGCTCACTCATTTCGACAAAATAAAGCTTGAACAAATTGGGTTTCAAACATAGGAATGAAAAGCCAGTAGATTTAACAAACTTCACTTCATGCAACTTGAGTTCTAAGTAACCAATCTAACCAACTCTAACAGTTTTATCAGCTTTTTGAATAGCAGACATAGAAACTACAGTGAACAACCCGTATTCCCTCTTAAACTCAACCAACAAAACAAACTACAAACAATTTTAAACAACTAGTAGTCTAATACCAACATTCCTCAATCTAAGAATTCAACTCCCCTACTAGCTCCTTACATATGCATACTATAAAGCACGGACACCTCTCCGGAGGCAACATATGGGTGTCGGACACGGACACACGTCGGACACGTGTTGGACACTCTACCTAACGTGTTGCTTTTTTTTTTTTTTTTGAATTTTTGCAGCTAGACACTCTTCGACACGTTGAAAATAGAGAGAAGGAGACAGAGAGAGAAACCCTAACCCATTGGAGATAGAGAGAGAAACCCTAACCCATTGAAGACAAAAAGAGAAAGAGAAAGGGTGAAGAACCTACTGAAGCCCTAGATCGAGGTATGTTCTTCCAATCTGTGTGTTCGACTCTCTCTCTCCCTTTGTTCGGTGCTCTCTGTTCGTCTTCTTGGAACCCTGTTCATCTTCTTCGAATCTTCGTTTCTGATTGAGGCCGAATTGTATAACATTGAGGCTGGTAACTAGGATCTCTTAACCTTGCTTGCTAGTTAAATTGTATATTTTATGTCTGTTTAATGCCATTCAGGTTGGATGCAGTAGGAGCATAAAATGAGCAAAAATTGTAATTTTTAGCAAAAAATGCTTCCTGCACATGCGGAGGACCATCCATTGCCAGCTAAACAGAGCCCAAGAAAATCGCACATGCGGAGGCCCATTCCCCCCATGTGCGGAACCCTCGCTGCACGTGCAGCGGCATTTCCCGCACGTGCGGTTGTACCTCGAAAAACGTGCCCATTTGGAGTTGTTTGAAAGAGCGGGAAGTATAAAAAGATAAAAAAAAAAGACTTAGTTCGATAGATTGCAAAAGAGAGAGGGGGCTAGGGTTTGGGAAAGGAGGGTTCTCAAGCTTCAAGAACATCTTTCATGGGGGTTTTTTCTTCTTTTACCTCTTCCCACTCCTCCATGAGTGGCTAGGCTTCTATTTCTAAGGTTTTGATGAAACCCTAGGGTTTCCTTTTTTATTATTGATTATGTAATGGTTTGAAATGTTTTTGGGTTGTACTTGGGTTAAGAAATGGTATAATCTCTTTAAAAAAAAAAAATTCATGCATGTGCGGCACAACCCACCGTAGGTGCGGCACAAATTCAGGTCCCCTATTTAGCTACCGCTTTTGTTGCAAGTGCGAGAAACGGTGCGGCACACCCACAAATCAAAAACCATGGATAAAGTATAAACAAAATTAACGCACATCTGCAAAACCAAATAAATTCACAACCCAAAATAATGTAAAAATAAACTATGAAAAAAACCCAATATAATGCTAACTTATATGATAAGGGTTTGAATATAGGAGCTTTACTATAAGGTAATTCTTGGAGATCTTATTTTATACACACATGGGATACAAAATACTCGGGCTTAACACAACCAATGTGTGTGTATGAATATTGATTGTGTGTACTTGGAGTTTATTCCTAAAACCTTGAACTGAATGCCAGAGTGAGCTGGTTGGAATTCTCTATAACAAATAAATAAATGATGATGACATGTGTCTGACATGTAGGTTTAAGACTTACATGCATTCGCCTTCAAAGAATAAGTATGTAAGCTAAGTAAGCTCTGTGAGAGCGCTCGCATTTGCCTCAGTGCCATGTGCCGCAGTGATCAACTGTGTGCCTTGATGTCAACAATGTTATTTCGCACAACTCTTATTGACATTTTAATCATAATTGCATTGCTCAAAGTGTCTAAGCCAAAAGGTAGCGTCTAGGCACAAGATGTGTTCAGCATGCACTGCAGGACCTGGGTATGTTATGGTTTGGAGGCTAAAGACAGGTTTTTTCGTGGTGCTTGATCCTGCCAGGTCGAGTTATCTCTGGCCAGTCCTACCAATAGAGAGAAGTTGTGCTACTATTGTATTCAAAACAATCTCAAAGATCTCGACAATTCATAACAGAATCAAACACCCTTGACATATTGTGATAGAATTTTCAAAATATCCAATGGCTTGTTACGATCATGTAATGTAAATAAAAGGCAACACTTTCTTACATCATAAGTTCCTCCAAAAATTATATTCCATATAGGTCATCTATGTGTATGTACTATGAATTTTGAGCTATGCACTTGAGCTTTGGTACTCTACTGCCCCTTTTCTCCTCCCTTAGCTACTCTTCATATATCCTAATCACTATTTGAATTCCCGGTGTTCATTCTACCACTCATCGGTGAACGTCTGACCATGAGATCTTTGTCTCTACAAATATTCAATATCTTAAAAACAATTCCTATAACATTGATGTCATGTCAAATAGACTATGCAACATGGACACGAAAACAGGGCATGACATGGTCACAACAGGAGGACTCGCAAATTTTGAAAAAATGGGGGGCAAACACACTGGGGACATGCTCATTATATGAAATTATAATTATATTTTTATTTATTTATTACATGTCATATAATTTATTTTTTTTCCTTAAATCATTGAAAGGTAACAAAAAAATGCAAAACAACACTGACAAAAAAAAATAATAATTAAAAAACCATACATCCTATTGCTTTAACGTCAAATATCATTCACAAATGACAAAACAATTGCATTCCATCAATACATGACATATGACCATCATCTGTTACAAAATCCATGAAAACCACAAATGTAAACCTATCCACGCACCCAAAAAAAGAAGTTCCCAGAGAAAAAATGAAAACAGACAACCGAGAGGAGACAAAGAGATAGAGAAACGAAGAAACAAAGAGACAAAAATAGAGAAACGAGAAAGAAAATAAAACCGAAGACAAGAATAAGAGAAATAGACCGGAAGAAAATAAGAAGAAAAACGAAAAACAGAGAAGAAACATACCTCTGAAAGGGCCTTGGATCCACCTGCGAGTGAGAAATCTACCTCCGAAAGGTCTTGAACATCTTCGTCTTCACCCTTTCTCTCTTTCTGTCTCCAACTGGCTAGTAGGGCTTCTTTCGCACAGAAACAAAAGAAATTGGGTAAAATTACACATGCCTCAACATTTCAATAAAATACAAATAAGCTCACAATTTTTTCAATAAAATACAAATAAGCTCACAATTTTGGGGCTTTTCCCATATTAGGCCTCTTTTACATCTTATTTCCCAAACTAGGCCTAGTTTGGACAGATTTCCCAAACTAGGCTAAAGCGCTATTACAAATCGCGCTTTTACTGTTTGGAAATCAAAATTTGATGAATAGTGAAAGCGCTATTGAGAAACGCGCTTTTAATTAAGAAATTATTATTCCAAATCGCGCTTTTAGTATGAAAAAAATTTTCTGAAGAAAACGCTATTTTAAATCGCGCTTTCACTATGCGTATAAATTTTTTTTTTTTTTAGAAAACGTTATTTCAAATAATGTTTTTACTGTTGCAACACAAACTAAAACCAAAACCAACCCACACTCTGACATACGCACACACCCACACACACTGAAGCATTGAAATAATATAATTTTTATATATAATAATCAATTATATAATTTTTATAATTTTCGTAAATATAAATCATTTTAAAACTGGTAGGAGGGAGTTATTTTAAATATTTTAATTAATTGGAGTTATTTTAAATATTTTAGTTAATTGTTACATTATTATAAAATAATTATTATTAGAGAATATATGCAAGTGAGAGTTAAGTGATACTTGATAAAGTTAAAAATTAAAAATTAATGCCTCGTTTGGAAATATATTATTTTAGTAACTTTTTCAATTTTTTGGCAAAAATATGGGATAAAAAAAATAGTATATTTGGAATAATTTTTGATTTTTTACGAAAAAATGTACAAAATGTATAAAAAAGAAAAATCTTTGATTTTTTTGTATAGGTTATAGGCTTTTTATTTTTTTAATAACTTTTTAACCTTTAGGCTAAAACTATTCCATGCCAAACAAAGCCTAAATACTAAAAATTAAGTTTTGAAAACTGAATGTTAAATTTTTTAAGTTAAAAATATGTTTGATAAAAATTTAAGTGTTGAACTAAAAATAAATTATTTGATATGTATAAAATTAAATTTAAAATTTATTACTTTTAAATTGCATATTATAATTTGGGAAAATTATTGAAAAATCTCATTTGGGAGGTTTTTGGTCCGAGAGATCCTTCTTTATTTTTAATACTCTTGGAAGTCCCATTTTGTTGGTAATGTCACCCGGAAGATCCCATTTGCGCTGATTTGAGGTGGATTATGTGACTGTTTTGCCCTTGTTTTTGTGTAGTAATGTATTTGTCTGGTATGGCAATCCCATTGATTTCGATTCTGATTTGAGAAGGACGATTTTGTGGAGGGTGGTTTCTGTGTGTATTTTGAAGGATATGTGTGTTGCAATGTTCATGTGTATGTGTTGTAATCCCACAAACCACACACCACTCCCCCTAACTACACAGCAATACCCCTAACAACATGAACATTAACTACACCAAAGCCCTCCCACCCTCGAACAACATCATGAACATCCCACCAAAATGCAAAACATGGATACAGTAACAACACACCCACCAAACAACATTTCAACACCACGACACCAAACACATAAAAACATAGATACATAGTACTTACTGTTCCTCCGTATCGTCATCGGGATAAGGGTGGTTCACACCTTCATGCAGCAACACCAGAAGAACTATTTCGTTACGGGAGCAAAACAAATATTCGTGACATCCCACCAATGTTACCCATCTCCAAGTACCAAAACACCCAGTCTTACAGTAGGGCTTCCTTCAAAATAGAAGCTGATTTCGTGGGATTTGATGGCTACTTTTCCTTTCTAACCACCGTGGGTCACGAAGCCGCTCACATCACCATTCACCGCTAATTGAATCCCTGCAAATCCGGAAACAAATTGCTCACATACATGCAAATGTGGGTCTATTATGTGGTTGCCATACCAATACCTACATATGGGATTTTAGACCAAATCAAATACGATGTATTTTCGGTAAACCCTTAAATTTGCATAGTTCGAATCGGAATGAATTTACTGTTAAATTTTGTTTTTTCCACAACTGGATCAAATGTTTGACAACGGACATGCCAATGGGGGGTGTAGGGGTGTCGTTTGGCTTTGGTGTGGAATGTGTTCACCGATCATACAACAACGGGAAGACCTTTTTGACTGTCGCTCATGACCTATTCCGATGTGGTTTCCTAGTCTTTGTGTTTTGATTACCAATGTGGGCTCTACCCAAAATCAATGTAGATCGAAGAGCTTTTAAATTGGATATGTTTTGGCCCAACCTAGGATATGGGTGATGTAGGCAATCAAAAACTAATGTATCAACCAATAAAAGACTATAGTGCGTTTTCTCAAACGTGGTAGACGTGTAATATATGCAATCCTTATACGTCAACTTAAAAAATCAAACCTTATGGGCAAAAACGTAAATCACATCAGATTGGGACTTCTAAGAGTATTGCAAAAGATTTGGGACTAGTAGGTTCACAAGTCATCTATATGGGATTTATAGGTCAATTCCCCTTATAATTTTTATATTATGATGGTGGTAGTAGTAGTAGTAGTAGTAGTGGTGGTGGTGGTGACAATATAATGGTGGCGATGGTAACGATAACAATAGTAATGGTAGTAATAGTAAAATGATAATATATTTATGACAACAATAATAATTGTGATGAATATGATAGTAGTAATGGTGGTGGTGGCATAATAGTGGTTGCGCCGGCATAATGGTGGCAATGGTGGTAATAGTTGTGGTAACGGTAGTAATGGAGGTAATGGTTGTGGTGGCAGTTGTAACAACTCTGACCTCTGATTTACGTTAATTCGTGGTTAAACAAGCTTAATCAATAATTAAGAGAAATTCTGAATTAAATTGCATGTGTATGTTACCTTATTTGTATTTTTATCTATTTAACGTAAAAAGACCTGTTCATGTTTTCGTTACAGATTGCGAATTGAAGTCCTTATCAGTATCTGATTCAAAAATTGACTTGATATATGTGATAATTAGAATTTTATGATAGATTTAATTAAAATTCGGTTTGGAACGATTAAATTAAAATAATGAATGCCAATACGAATAACTTAAGCCAAGGTTAATTAATCACTACTAAGCGAGCCTATATAAGGCCTAAGATGATTAAGAAACATGACTCACACTCTCATTCTATCATCTTTGAGGCAACAAAACATAAAGAGAGAGAAAGAGAGAGAGAGAGAGAGAATAATAGATTGAGCTCAACCAAGAGAATTCTTGGAGAATCAAGCTTGAACCCTTTGAATTCACACATTAGGTATGAACATTTCCCTTAAATCTTGGAAATAAGGTACATAGGAAGTGAATTCAAGAGTCATGTAAGAATAAGACTTTCCATGTTACAATAAAATTCACGAACCTAGCTAAGATTTTGGGGACCTGAGAAAGAGAGGACATTATCCCCACCTAAGGGATCAAAAAGTGAATAGATATGGATAGACTCGAAAGTGTTAGGTTGAACATTACGTTCAAGATGAATGGTTCAGGCTGGATAAGACTCGCGAAACAACTTGGCTTTCTCAGCCGAAGGAAACCGGTCAGAGTTAAATGTAGGGTGAGGGGCAATAGACTTCCGTCTCTTGAAAGTAAACATGACTAAAGCAAGATAAAGAAACAAAACCAAAACACACAACCTCCAACCCAAAACAAAAATAAACCAAAAGAGGAAAAAGCATTAGTAGCACAGTCAAATATAGCAACATGAGGCAGGTAGATAAAACTATGATGTAACATTGTAGTCTCCAGAGAACCGAATATTTCAAAGATGAATCATGGTGAGCAATGAAGCCAAAATAACATAGGCTTAATGAAAATCAGAGAAACAATCAACAGTCAAAGAAATTATCCCATCTCAATATGCCAAAGACTGAATAAAATAAGACAAATAGCACAAGACTCATAAGACCTTACATATACGAACATGAGTGAAGGATGAGACATGTAAAAAAACCAAAAACAACTACAAAAGTAAAGAAGAAAACAGAGAGGAAACAGAAGATGGGCATACCTTAGGTATGCGAAAAGATGAAAAACAACAATGAAAATGGCAAGAAGACAAGGCACGGAGATGCCAAGGAGCCCTAGGAGAGATAAAGAGATTTGGGGAAGAAATGAACTGAAGAGTCGAGGGAGGGAGGTTTAAACAAATCCAGTCCGCTCGAGCGTAAGGTTTAACGCTCGAACGGGAGCCAAAGCACGCGTGAATGCGCTCGAGCTAGGAAACGGACGCTCGAGCATCAAAACATCCCTCACAGAACTGTAAAACATGGCACAAAATGCTGCAAGACAGAAATCCACGCTCGATCGTGAGATTTGACACTCGAACGGGGACAGAACACCACCAAACCTTTTTTTTTTTTAAATAAAAAATAACTCAACCGAAAAAAAAAATGGCCTGTAAACAGCGAGAAGTATAATTAAAAGACTGTAACACTCATATGAGATTATCCATCAACCATGAATCTTGTAAACTTGTACAGCAAAACAAAATATGAATCACAATATCATGAACAAGTCAGATAGAATTTAATCAATGAGCATAAACAACATTAGAATACATAACTCAAAAACACACATGAGAGCTCACGAAAAATATGTGTATGTGTGCAATCCTTGAGAGCCACAAAGCTAGAGTTAATCCTTGTAGTGATCGGATGGCTGGACCTCCGACAAGAGTAACTGAACATCACAGAGAAAAGTCAAACCACTAGGAATCACGGGGTATTTGTTGAGTAAACGTGGAGGCTCCCTCTCAGTCACCGCCATCTGCTCCTTGATCATTGCAGTTCCGACATGTTTTTGGCTATTGTTTTTCTTGGTTTTTGATCACTAAGTTATAATTATGTCAATCATGGAAGAAATGAGCTAATTGTATACATGCATGCATAATTCAAGAATTTTGAGTTTTGATTTCAACAAATTCTTACATGCAAGAGCCTATTTTTGTTAAATTATAGGAGCTCATTGTGATTTTGCACCTTAACACTTCATTTG